ATATAAAATTATGTTTTGTAAGTACCACCATGGGAGTCTTATGCCTTGGGGGACTTAAATAACCATTGGCCTCTGTTTGGTTACTTTGTGGCCTTCTGATCCATTGATCTCTGTTCTGTGCGGACCAAAGTGTTGTGCGGAGTTAAGTGCTACACTATTGTGGGAGCCACCTCTAGAATCCGTGCGAGTCACCTCTTGAATCCGTACCTCTGTTCTGTGCGGACCAAAGTGCTGTGCGGAACTAAGTGCTATACTATCGTGGGAGCCACCTCTACAATCCGTACGAGCCACCTCTTGAATCCGTACCTCTGTTCTGACTGTCACTTCTGTGACTTCTACTCTGTTCTGTTCTGTACCGTGGTTATGGTTATCTATTTATATAATATTTGTATTCCAGTTTCTGCCACTCAAATGATTTATGTACCAAACTGAGTTATATAAATGTTTTGGCCTAATTAATTGTCCATGGTTATTTCGTATCCCTTATACCCTTGGTATAATATTTCTCACTCTGCCATGTGCTTATAGTTGTTTACCAATTTTCAGGAAACAAGCAATTTAGAAATAGCTTTGAATAGACTTAGACGCGGGGTTGCGGAATAGACACACACAACACTTTTATTGACATTTTTATATGTAAATATCGACATTTTTGGTCAACATAATTTTGTAATAAAAATAGAAGTTCCAACGATTATTTTGGTACCCTTATTTAAATTTTACTTCCGCTTGCGTTTATTGATTTGTTTAAGAATTGGCCGGAGGTAACCTCAGTTACTGGCCATCACGATACTTAACCCTTAGGTACAGGGAGCGGGTCGTGACAATCATTCTTTCTCTATTTCGCTAATGATCAATTGATGGTCTCTATGGCTTCAAAGAAAAAAAAACAAAAAAAATCTGTAATTAATATATACACACACAATAATCTATTAAGAAAGATATGAAAGTATTACCTTTACTTTGCAGAACAGAGCACCCAACAAACCCATAATTTATTTGTTTAAGGTTTCAATCTTATTCTTTGGATATATATTTTTTTAATGCATTCTCTTGGCTAAATATTGATTTATCATGTATTGATTTCTCATATATTAGGGGAAATTAATAATGTCCACTCTTAAAAGGATGCACATCATATTAATAAAATTTGTTTATTTGTCAAAAAAGAAAAAAGAAAAAAAAGGATGCACATCATAAGATAGTTATGAATTTTTATGATGAAAATTACCAATGTGTGTGGTGTGTGTTAAAGTCAATTTGTTTGTGTGTAAATTTTATTGAAATATTTTATCAAACACTTAATAAGCAAGGAAGATAGAATGGTTATCAAATATTTTTGTAACAACCAAACAATAGTAATGGCATAACAACCATTCAATAGAGTAACTCAATACAATAGACTCACAAATTCCTACTAAATCAAAGTAAATGGGTTTCGTGGAACCCAACCAACTCTTCATATATATGCGTGTATATATACATACATAATATATATTAATAAGAAAAATCAACAAAACCCATAAAAGTATACCCAAAATCCTACATGCATCTAGAACATTTAAAGAAAAATAATACTCACAGCTTGATTCCACTAATGATCAATTGATGATCTCTGTGGCTTTAAAGGAAAAAAAAAAATTTGTAATCAATATATATACAATCAATAATATATTAAGAAAGAGATGAGAATATTACCTTTACTTTGAAAAACTGCTTAAGAAAGAGATGAGAGTATTATCTTTGCAGAACAGAGCACCCAACAAACCCACCATCAGCGAAGTAGTCGATTTGCTAATGAGATTGAGGCCGTGACTGTTGCCAGTGAGATTGAAAACGAAGAGTGAGCTCTAAAAGTGAGAGATGAAGGAGACAACCCATTTTGAATTTTGAATGTGTATGAGAGAGAGAGAGAAAGAGAAAAGGGAAGAAGAAATATAAGGAGAAAATGTATATCACCGTAGAATGTATGTCAATAAATAATCTCAATCATTGAAAGATAATTTGTCTCTTGGACATTTTTGAACTGTTAGATTGAATTGATCTAATAGTTCACATTTTGACTAAAAAAAAAAAAAAAAAAAAATCCCATTAAAATTTAAGAACTACACTTCCTGTATAGGTATTTAATAAAAATATCAATAAAATGCCCAAGGTGGGTAACATTTTCCTTATTATAACCCATGTGTCCCCCACAAACCATGCGCACCCCCAAATTGATAAATCAAAATCAAAATGTCAAAAAAGAAGTGGGCGGTCCCACCACACATACCTAATCCTCAATTGATCCCATGATTAGATTACTCATCAATAATAGCATTCCCTCCCATTGCTCTCTACATTCAACTTCAAATTCTCCAATAAAAAATAATAACAATAAAATTTCAAATTCGTTTTGAAGCCAATTCACACTGATTTATTTATTTCCAATTTATATAACATACAATATGAATTTAAATATTTTAATACTTGTACTTCATAAAATTACTGTATTTCGTTTCACTTTTCAAGTTTTTAGTTTAAACTTTTCACAATCACAATAAGTTTTTAGTTTAAATATTTTTTGAATATGAAATCAATTTTATTTAAGTCAAAACAAACAAGGATATATTTTTTTTGGAGAAATATCAAATTAGTAGTATTTTCAAAAAATAAATTACAAATTAGTGGTAAATTTTATAAATATTAATAATTAAAAGCTTAAATTTTTTTCATAAATCTATAATTATTTTTTAATAGTACCAATGATTTGCTATTTGGGGAATTTACGGTCAAATGGGATTTCTAATTTTATAAATATTAATAATTAAAAGCTTAAATTTTTTTCATAAATCTATAAGTATTTTTTTAAAGTACCATTGAATTGTATTTTTTCCTTCTTTTTTTGGAGGTAGACTAAGGTAGCCAACTCTGTTTTGGACTAGCTTTTAATTTGACTTATTTTTATATTTGATAATTTAAAAAAAAATAATTTTAATAAATACATAAAAATATAAAAAATGTACTGAATTCTTGTATTTTTTTTGTATTTTTGATATTTAGTGAATTTTTAAAAGATTTTTTTAATAATTTTTTTACTTTTTACGTATATTTATGTTAGGTGTGTCTAAAAAGTAAAAAAATTATTTAAAATATTAAAAAAATTCAGTAAAAACAAAAAAAACACGGAAAATAAGAATGTAGAATTTTTTAAAAAATGTTTTAAACTCAAAACAAGCAAGCTAATTGAATTGTGTTTTTTCCTTCTTTTTTTGGAGGTAGACTAAGGTAGCCAACTCTGTTTTGCACTAGCTTTTAATTTGACTTATTTTTATATTTGATAATTTAAAAAAAAAATAATTTTCAGATATATAAAGTAAAAAAAAATTGACTCAAAATTTTATTTAAAATATCACTAGATATAAAAATAAGTCAATTTTTGTCAAACATCCATATAAACCTAAGATTTTTTTTGTGTTTAATAATACTTTTAAAAAAATTCTAAATTATTTTAATTTTTAAGATCATCTAATCTAGACAAACTTAAATTTTTTAAAAATATTTAATTTAAAATTTGGGAAAAATGATTAAAAATGAAATTAAAATAAAATAAAATAACTTCTAATAAGTTGCAACTAAAGAATCCTATGTATAATTGTCTTATTATCCAGACTAATTAGTTGAAAAATGACAATAATCTGAATCCCCATTGTTACCTCATCATTTTTTGTAAATTATATTTTAGAGTTTGTTTATTCATTAACTTATTGAATATTAAATTAGCTTTTTTAATTTATAATAAATATACAAAATAATAAATTATTAATTTCGTACTTCCATTTCAAATCTCCAAAGTGAGACAAGCTTGGCTCTAATGTATTTGTCATGTCAATCTATCTTTCGACTTGTTACTTTTACTATTTTTCTCCCACAATACAAGCATCCAAAAAACATAATGATACCAATTTTTTTTATTATTATTTAAAATTTAACTAATATTCTAACTTTGTCAAAAGGTTGGACCGTTTTTTTTTTAAAAAAATTTAGCGAATATTTTTTATTTATTAAAGGGTTGGGGCTTTTCCCTTATCTCTTAGATTGAAAGATATTTTTCATAATGGGGCTCATCACATAGTATGTGCCGTTTTGGGAAGAAGTCGAAAATGCAACGTTTGGCAATAATAACAAAAATGTAGCACCATACAAAAAGTCAAAACTCACCATTTTGGAAAGTCTACAAAACGCAACTTCTTCATTTATCAAACTACGTTCTGAAAAAATTATTATTAATTAATTCAAAATAGTGTTGACATGTCAAAGGGTAAAATTGTAAATTTAATTAAAAAGTAAAAATATTTTAGTCAAATTTAAAAAGGTCAGCTTGCTTGGTTGTGTTTTTTTAAAAATATTTTTCAGAAAATTTAACTTTTTTATTTTTCGTTTTTTTTTGTTTTTACTGAATGTTTTTAATATTTTAAGCAATTTTTTTTTTTACTCTTTAGACATACCTAACATAAATATACTTAAAAAATAATTTTTTTTTGAAAAAAACTTTTAAAAATTCACTAAATGTCAAAAATAAAAAAAAATATGAGAATTCAGTAAATTTTTTTATATTTTTATGTATTTATCAAATTTTTAAAATATTTTTTCACAATTTTTATACTTTTTAGATACATCAAAGTAAGGTGCATCTAAAAAAGTAAAAAAAAATGTTTAAAATTTTAAAAATATTCACTAAAAACAAAAAAATATAAAAACCAAAAAATTAAATTTTTAAAAAATTGAATTTAAAAAACTCAAACTAAATACACTGGATATAATTATGTTAAAAATATGGATCTAATTGTATTTTTTTTCAAATTTTAAGAAAAAATGAGTGTAATTTATTTAAGAAGTTATTAATTTATATTACAATATTTTGTATTTTTGATCGAAATAATTGAAAAAAATTATCTCATGATAAATTAAAAAGCACGAGCTCGTAAAAAGTAGAGAGAGAGAGAGAGAGAGAGAGAGAGAGTGAAAAAGCCGCAAGACCCGTTTATCAAAAGCAGAGCGAGTGAGGGACAGACACTAGTAGAAGATATTTGAGAAAGTAGAGAGAGAAAGTGAAACGCACACACTGAGTGAGTGAGCGAGTGAGAGAGAGAGAGGAACGCAACGCAGCAATGGCGGTCTCAGCCTCAGTCTCCATCATAGCCGTTATCACTTCTCTTCACCTCATCGCCTTCGTTCTCGCCGTCGGCGCCGAGCGCCGCCGTAGCACGGTACCCTCCTTACCTATTTCACTCTCTATTCTTCAAAATTCCCACTCTCAGATCTTTTTCCGATTCCGATTCCGTTTCTCTTTCTTTCTTTCCTTCTGTGTTAGGCCAAAGTAACAGCAGACGAGTACGACGAGAAAACCTACTGCGTTTACGGCACCGACGCATCCACGGCGTACGGACTGGCGGCGTTCGGGCTGTTGCTTATAAGCCAGACGGTGGTCAACGGCGTCACCAAATGCTTCTGCTTCGGCAAAGGTCTCATGGTTGGTGGATCCACTGCTTGTGCCGTCTTCTTCTTCGTCTTCTCCTGGTATTTCTCAAAATTACTCAACTCTCCTCGCTTCTCTTTCAATTTTACATCTCGATCTTACGGTTCAGATTGTTTGGTGACCACTCAGAGTGGTGGGCCTCTGTGATCAAGTGTGTCTTGCTGTGTGTGTGTTGGCTTTGGAGCTAATTATTAACCGCATGTGATATATATACCTACCTACCCCAGAGAATTATTTACTTTTGTCCATTTCACGCAATTAAATATTATTGCTATGTTTTGATCTAGATCATAATGATTCTATTATCATAACTGTTTTTTTCTTTCTTTCATATACATGTTAGCTTTGTTTTATCTGAAGTCTTGTCCTTTGTGGCTCAAGTGGTTTGGTGTATTTAAATTCATATTGTTTTGTGAAGTCAAATGTTTAGTCTTGACTTGAAAAAACAATTGCAAAGAGTTGCTAAACACTATTTCTTAAAGTTGAAACATGATTTCAACCTATATCAAAACATGACTTCAAAAATCAAGTGTGTTTTGCAGAATCAGTGGTCAAACCACTGGGAATTGGTAAATAACTCTTTGATTTTGATTGGGTAAGGGGCGAAGGGGTTTATTGGTGGAACCATCATTTTTTTTGTAGTGGGTATCTTTTCTTTGATTATTCTGGTCATTTTGGTTGGAAGTGGATGTCTGGAATAAATTCAAGTGGTTTTTGGAGCTGAACCTTAAAATCCTCAGACATTTTCATAGCATTACACTAGGGAAAATGCTAATACATACTAATTACTCTTAGCATCTCCAACACAGCTGGCATTCCAATAACTATTTTGTTATTTATAGAGAAAAAAGTGGGAGAGAGAAAAAGATGGGAGAAAATATTACTTTTCTGTTTAGCTAAAATAATGGCTAGCTAAATTTTGCTAGCAAAATTGGGGCTTCCTAAAATGGCCAGTCATTTAGCTAGCTTGTTAGAGCGATAAAATTAGGAAGAGGCTAATTAAAATGGCTAGCTACATTTGGAAAGCCAGTCTTTGCTAGCTAAAAAAAAAAACCAACTAATTTATTCTCTGTCTCCCTATTTCTGTCATCTCATTTTTCTTCTCTTCTTAAAAATACCCATTTAGCTAGCCTGTTGGAGATACTTTCACACTAGCCATGGCATTGTTACATTTTCATTGTACAAGGAAAATTATTCAGTGGTCCATATGCACCATGTGGCATAGGCCACGTGTTGCTTCATACTATTCATTATCTGATGTATAACCCTGCTAGTAGGGTCTACCAAGTAGTGGGATCCACTGGCAAGTTGCTAATGTATTGGTTCACGAGTGGTGTGGAGCACCATATGACCTATGCCACGTGGTGCCTCAAGACCTTTGAATAATTTCTCCATGGCACAATGTGAGGTTTTTATTATTTTGATCCTATCTTTCAAAAGTTCCCTCCCTATTTCACTTGATTATGAATAATATATATATATATATATATATAGAGAGAGAGAGAGAGAGAGTAATCTTAACTAGTTGGTAGAAGATAATTGATGAGATAAGGTATAAGATTGCATGAAATTGATTAGTTGCTCTTGTTAGAAGAATGCAATAAATTGCAAAATTTCTGGTATACGTCAATCCTTAGAAGTTCTCTATATGTTCCCAATTGTATTCTTTCAAATTGTCCAACAATCTGTGGAACAATTTTTTGCAGTATCCTCCTCACTTAGCTGCATGAATTAGTGGCACAAAGTTGACCATTGCCATTATTTGATATTAGGCTATTTTTGGTTTTAATATTATCCAACTTTATCCTCCTAGAGCTCAAAAAAAGTCTTCCAAGATATCAATTAGTTCATTTGCGGAGTCACAAAATTAAGAAAATTCGTGTAACAATTGCATTACTGATATTTTCATAATAGTGGTTGTGAAGAAGATTGTAGTCACCAAGCCCACCCCTTACGACCATAAAGTAAATGCCAAATGAGGTGTAATTGCATGAGTTTGTTACAATAATACCAAGAATGTGTGTGTGTGTGTGTGTGTGTGAGAGAGAGAGAGAGAGAGAGAGAGAGCCCAGACTCAGGAGTTGAGCACTTTCCAAGAGTATTAGAATGAGAAGAATTTTTTGAAGTGTTAGATTTATAAATTATTTTGTTAAAAAAAAAAAAAAAAAAAACTGTTTTGGTTGATAAACCCTGGTAAAATTGGACTTTTTGGCATGAGATAATTGATTTTGTTATTCATGAGCTTGCTAAAGACGATCTTTAAAAATGCCCAAATGCAATTTAAAGTTAATGGCATTTATGCACAAGTACTTCTTGCAGTTGTTAAGTGTTAAAGAGAGATTTGAAGTTTTATTACATGCCTATCAGTCACAATGTATTTGTATTTTTTTTTTTTAAGGATCCTTGTACCTCTTGTGCCCCATTGGCACTTTATCTATCAGAAAAGAATATATATTGAACTAACACCAAATATATATGTATTGAATTGAACTACCACCAACCATATATGTATTGAACTACTTTATCTAGGCTTGATTGATGAGCCAAAGCAGAGTTGAATTTGACTTGGATTTCTGCTTCGTCCTTTTTTGTGGTTTCTTTTTAACAAGAAATGGAGGTGATGAGCCAAAGCAGCATTGCTGCTGTTGCAGATGGAGAGAGAAGGAAGAGGAGAAGAGAAAAGATAGAAAAAAAAGGGGAAGATTTTTTTTAAAAAACAAATTGGAGTCGGCAGTGGCTGCACACCCGCTGCTTCGCTGCTACTGCAGCACTGTCCGAAACCCTTCAACCATCAACCACCAATCCACCCCTCCTATATGGATCTGTAACACAAACAGAGCACTATATTTATATAGGGTGAACAAGAAGGGTGAGAAGAGGAGGAGAAAGGAAAGAAAGAAAGGAGCAAAAGAGGGAAAACAATAAAAAATAAAAGGAAAGGGGTTGCTGTAACGGCAAGAGAAATAGGACAAGAAAGAAATAGTAAAGAGAGAGGAAGAAAAATGGCGTTTTTTTGTATGATGGATATTTTTGTCTTAAAAAAAATGTAACTCTCCACATAGGCATGTGACTTTTATGGCCTGTTACTTTGGATGAAAATCTAATGGTGCACTTTGGTCCACAAACCATAGAGGGTGATGTGTTTATTTCCAAATGAGAGGGGGATCATTAGCACATGGGCCAAATCACAAAGGGGTAAAGTGAAATTTGTTGTATTTACTTTTTCTTGAGCAGGAGCTAGTAGTATTTTAGATTTTCTATGCTCACTTGAATACAAATGATTAGGCAATTGAGAGCTCAACAAAATTGGTTGCTTGTTTGTCACCATGGGCATGAGTGCTTGTTAACCAACTCTTTTTTAATTACTCCTGGAGACCTCTGACAACAACTTAGATGCCTCAAAAAAGGCATATCAAGATCAGGTGCAACAACTGGTTGCTTCAATTCTTTAGCCAGTGCAACTTTTGTAGCCTCACTGTAGCCCCTTCTCGAGTAACATGTGAAGCTTGTTTTTCTGATTGTGTGGAATTTTGTATGTTGTCTTTTTGATCTTCTTGTTAATGGTCTGCTACTTGCTCCTCTAGCTTTCCATCAAGTTGTTTTGATACCAACATCTTGTTCTGGCTTTCTAGCTTCCTTTTGTGGTACTTTGGCTCTTTCTTTTGGAGCTTCTATTGGTTGCTTTTGCTGGGCAGTATTGGTGATTCAGCATTATGTTTAGGATTGAAATTTTCAATGTCGCCATTTTAAATTTTACAAAAAACTCAAATTGAATAGCTATTTAAATAGCATCTTCGAGATATTCTACATGTACATGTGATGCAGGATAGATTCGAAATAGGCCTAAGTATGAGCAAAAACACAAATAACAGGGCTGTTTTTGGGGCTGTGAACAGCAGATATGAACAGCAGATATGAACAGTAGATGTGAACAGTGATTTGTAGGAAGTAGAGGAAGGGTTAAAGAAGGATAGATCTAGATATCACACCTAGAAAACCCAAGGCATCACACCAAGGGGCGCTTTAGCATCCCACTAAAGAAAGATTGCATTGCACAATCATAAAAGCATAAGCTTAATTTTCATTCATTCATTCAATCCATAATTTGCCACAAGACTTGCAATATAATTTATACTAACTTCATCTTGATTCTAAAACTTTCCAAATTAAGGCCAAGTTTGGCATTTATTCAAAAAGTTATTCAAAAAGTTAAAAAGTTATCACTATTCACAAAAAAAAAATTGTTAAACTTTTGTAGCACAGTTTGGGTGCAATTTTCACACACCTGTTCGGCCCGTGGGGGCCATCACTGGTTCCGTTTTGATAATTTGAACCGTTCAATGTGTAAACCTCGTCGAGTACTATATGCCTGTAAAAAATCACATTGATCGGATATCGATAACTATATGATCAAATCAGTTTTGTATAAAAAAATGGATAGTGTTATAATTAACGATTTTAAAAAAACAAATCTGATCAGATAGCTATTGATATCCGATCAATGTGATTTTTTATATGCATATAGCACTTGACGAGTTCTACACATTGAACGGTTCAGATTATCAAAATGGGACCCGTGATGGCCCCTACGGGCCGAACAAAACCGTTTCAGTGCAATGCCCGAAAAGTAACCAATAATTTCTTACTATCAATTCAACCCCTCAGATTGTACGGCTGCAAACACACATTTCTAATCTTCTCCTACACACTTCTTATACAATTTTTTTAATACACATTGTTCCATAAAAAGTTAACCCAAACATCCATATTTTTTTTCTCAACTTTTTAGTCCAAAAAGTGCACTTATTTAGGACACTCCAAACAACCCCTAAATGACATGACTAACTTAAGACTCCTTAGGACTCTTTAATGCATTAATCATGTGAGACACTAGAAGACTCTTTGACCAACTAAATAACCCAAAGACCTTGACTAGAAATTTAAAGACATTTGACTTGAGAAACTCAAAAGACACTTTTAAATAAATCCCAAGTCTAGCTAATCTCCCAAGTAGGCCCCACATCATCTAGCATATGCCCGA